GCGGGGTGGATTTAGAATTACTCTCTGCCCTCAAATGCCATATTTTATCTTAGGATACATCATTGACATACTCTCTTGATTTCATCAAATCTCTTAAAAGCTTGCTTGCTTTTTCCATCCCTTTCAAACACACACTTACGTGCACACACACATTCACACACATCTTTGAATAGAAACCATATAAAGAGATTTTGATTTTTCTTTTTCTTTTCTGCCAGCCACTCTTCCCTTTTTTTTCTGTTAGCTTAGCATTTCTAAATTTAATGATACGTGACATATTTGTTTCGGATCCATTAGTGACCACCTTATTAAAAGGAACCACATTTTATTAATTTTTGTATCCAAGGCACCAACATGGAGTGCCCCCACTGACTAGACAGCCATGCTTGGTGAATTAATTAGTAAAATATTTCTCAAGGAAGGCTCCATCACTCATTCTTTCCTAGATCCTGTTGAAACGTACAGTATGGCAGGACTCTCATCAATTCAGACCATCGCAAATTACTTTTTATTTTCACTTAGGGCTTTGAAGTCATCTGTCAATATCTTGACCACCCATTTCGGAACCTGAACCCACCACAGAAAATAAAAAATGTGTGTGTCCACATATTATTTTAGAGAAAAATTTTGCTTTTTTTTTTTTTTTTTTGTAAATTGTTCACATGAAATTTTGGCTATTTCAATCACCTATCAAAAATCATCAAAGATGCAAAACATCATTTCTTTATATAGGCATATTTATATTTCCACCTTATATAAATTTCCAATTTAGGTTTTTCTATATATAAACATGATATTATAAAGTTTTCATAAAATTTCATTGCTTAAGACTATTTGGAAAGGTTTTGTCTTTCATTAGTTTTTAAAGGAAATTCAGACTTGCTCGGTTTAAGAAATGACATACATAACTTCCCTAGTGACTTTGGTTTTCCTAAAATAACTGCAAGCAGTTCTTATTCAATCAACCAATCAATACATATTTATTGATCTGCTCTATTTACCAAGACTATTAGGTGCTGACTATTCTAATTTATTTGACCTTGAATCATTGCTTTATTTGGGCAGCGGATATATAATAATAATGGCAACACATCTTGTTTCTTTTTATTTATTTATAATTATCTTTCAGTTTCTCTGTTTGACCAACATCTTCTTTTTTCATATAAAGGTTTTCACTCTTTAGGATCATAGTTCTTCCTCATTTACTATTAATCCTGTGCTTTTTTCATGTATTTTTCCATGTGCATTCCCTTTTTTTTATATTTTTCTGAATACTTAATTTGTGCTTTACTTATATATATCTGATACTTGATATTTTTAATTTTTAAGAAAATAATCTCTTCTCTAAAAAAATGTTAAAGCTAGAGCTCCCAGAACCAAATCCCTTTTCTTTTTTCAACCCATTACATAATAATTTTAGCATCCCTCAAATTGCAAGATTTACTCTACTGTAGCAGGAGGTAAATCATTATACTTCCAGACTCCTCAACTGTAAAATTTTAATGCTTTGTCCTTTGCCCTATTTATTCCTGATATGAAAATAGGACACTTTCCTCTTAAATTTCAGAGAGGAGGTTCGACTTCGTAAGATACCCACATTCTGCATCCTGTATATCAACTTCAGATAATCAGTACTACATTTCTCTAATGGGTTCTCATTTTTGTTTTGAATTTCTTCTAATGAGAAAAAAAGCTACACCAGCCTTTTATTTTCTGATTAGAATTTGCTTTGGATGTCACTATGCAGATAAACTGATATGTGAAGTTGAATAATTATCTGAATAGGTTGATCAAAATAAGTGATCATGGCCAGACATGGCAGAAGTTTTGAAGGTAGAAGGGTCCTTAGGGCCTGTCCAGTTCAATGACCTCAAGCACTACAGAAGATAAAACAGAGCCCAGGGAGAGGAGACTTGCCCATCTTCATAGCTCTCAATCCAGTTCTCCAGCACTCTTCTTTTTCACCTCACTGGCTTAAGGTTTTTAAAAACTGTTTTAAACCTCTTTTTCCTTAATATTTTTTTATTTTTATTTTTCCCCCAGAAAAAGTTGGGCCAAGTGTCTTCTATCATCTACTACATGAGTTCTGCTATTCTTCCCTTCCAGCTTAGTGGGAAAGCTTGTGTTCCCTCACCGTGAATCAACATAAATCATGTTCTCTCATTATTTTTCTTATTTTACTCCTGCTGTACAGAATAAGAGCAAGAGAAGTTCCTATAGCTACTGGACTATCCTCTATTGACTCATGTAAAAGTATTTCTTTCCAAGTAAATACATCTCTGCTTTCCTTCAGCAAAACAGTTGGAGACAAAAATAAGATGGTTTAAAGGTATTTGCAACCCCTATATGACCTTGAACATTGTGCTTAATGCATTTCTGCTGAATTATTATTTTGACCGTTCATTAAGGCAAGTCACATTGAGAAGCACATGGTTAAAGAAAAGCACAAACTCAAAAATACTAAGAGCTATCCCATAACAGTGCTGTGTTCACACCTTAAAGTAGCTTTTTTGTACATACAGATACCAGAAAAATATCCTTCCTTACTCTTTTCCTACCCCGCTACCCTTTTTTTTCCATATACGCATCTTTCATAAAATATGAGCAGATTGCTGGGCTCATTCTTCATACAATTAGTTGCATTTTTAAAGTCAAGTTTGACTGCATTTCTTATGCTTAGACCAATAATATCATCCCTGTGATGGTGAAGCCCTCCTTCCACAAAAGCACTCATGATTTGATGCAGGAACTCCTTTTATGACTATAATTGTTACTAACCTACACATTAAATGATCAATGATCCAGAAGCTTCATACTTGCCCAGAAACAGTCAATAGTTAAACATTTTAAGGAATTCACAGAACTAAACAAAATTAATAGACTAGAGAATTTAGAAACATGCTGTGAACCAATGTTTCAGAAATAATTCACTATGTAAAAATTAAATTAGTTTAACTACAAAATTAAAAAAAAAAAAAAGGCAGTATTTTCATTTAACCATATAACTCCCAATTAAATGTCATAAGAAGATGTATCTTACCCTGATGCGTGGTATGCACTTTTCAGGTGATTCTTTGAAACTTTACTCATCAACCTTGGATATTAACAAAACTCAATTTTCTTAGTCATTAAAAATATTTTTAACGGCTTTGGACAGATGATTAAGAGTAGAAGACAGTTCGTACTTCTAAGTGTTTGATTTGGTATGATGGTAGATGAATGAAATAGATGCTTATCCAACAGTAGACTGGCAATGCCTAGCAGGACATCAATCAAGCAAATTCAATCAGAGGTTGACCTGATCGTGCCCAGTTTCCCCCACTGGCTACAAAAACTTTATGAATTTAAAAAAATAGAGTTATAAAAGCATTCTTGCTCAACTCCTTTATTTTGCAAAGGAGAAGGCATAGGTCACAAAAGTTGTATGACTTTCAGCAGCCAAGATGCAGAGTCCAGCTCTTTCTTCACTGCTCTAATAATGGTTACAACTCCAAGATTTCATAGAACATGGAATGACACCCCTAGGACCATACTGAAAGCAACTAAGTTAAATCGGTTAATTCATTCAACAAGCACTCATCAACAGCCTACCGGTCAAATACAGCTCAGGGACACCACCTTGTATCTTTGGAAGTCCAACTGCAAGGAAAGAGGTTCATTCTAGTGGTGACTAAGAACATTCACTGCATGGAGGACAGACATTATCTGAGCTCAATATTAATAACAAACTAGCAGACATATACATTAAAAATAAAACTCTTATAACAGAAGAATCAGGCTCCGTTTCAAAGAGAGTGGAATTGGGCAAGCAACTCCTATTATAGTATTTCCTCAATGAACCAAAGTTCCCTTCCAGCGCCCCCGCCCAGCCATGTTACATGTTATTTCTAAGCCACGGGTGAGAATGAGACCTACTGAAAGTGCAGAAACTGGGTAACAACTCAGTTTGAAAAATATATACATTCTAATGTAGCAGTGGGGTAGGTTTAGCCACTTAATACTTTTGAAACGTTTTTCTTTAGTTCATAAAAACTGCCTAAACCACTGCCCAGTCAGGGGTTTTGTTCATTTTATTTGCTCTAGTTCAGTCAAATTGTTGCTAGCATAATGTTTGGGATTCATTTTTTAATCTTTTAAAGATTTAATCTTTTAAAATCTCAATGAACCGTTGCTTTAATGATAAAAGAAAATTCAACCTAATCTTGGTCTTCCAAAGCCCTTTGCATACTGCCAATTTTAGCTTGTTCACTGTTGAAATGCGTGGCCTGAAGGATCTCAGAGGTCTGAAATATTGTAAATGGTCACTCTGCTCTTTTTTAAGGAAGCCCTTGCCTTACACAAACCTACTACTGAGCCCACCCAGGGCACACACTCCTGTATTGTGTAACTACTGACCTACCATAATCAGTGTGTGTGTGTGTGTGTGTGTGTGTGTGTGTGTGTGTGTGTGTATCTGTGAAGCAAAAGAAATTCTAAGACTTTGGAGTCAATGTTAGCGATAACCTACTAACCTATTGACTAGTCCTTCGGGTGTTTCTAGAACACCTGGGAAAGGAATCTGAGACGGGGCGGAGGTGAAGAGGGGAAGGGGAATTAGGAAATGGCGAGGATAATTACTTCCTAAACCAAGACCGGGTGTCACTCGAGCCTCGGCCGCAGCGGGGTCGGGAGGCAGGGCGAGAGGCCGGCGGGGGACAAGCCAGAAAGTCGGGGGATGAGAGGACGGCAGCGGCGGAGCAGCGGGCGGCGGGGCGGGCGGCGCGCGGCAGGGGTGATAAAAGCGGGAGGCGGAGCCGCCG